TTTACTTGTTGTTTTTAATCTCCCGTGGCAGCTTCCAGAAATTACCTTTTTAATTCTTTTAGATCACGTGGCAAAAGATCCATTCCATTGATTCAACTAATGCTTCACAATAAGGGGAGGTAACTATTCACCATGTTTTTTGGAGTTAGTGACAAAGTGGGAACAGAAAATAACAAACCTGACTAGATACTAGAATGCTGCTCATAAATTAGAGATACAGCTTCCCTTCGGTGCAATCCTGAAAAGGATTACAGAGGGGGAATGTCAAGAACAAGCTTTGTAGCTCAAGGCAGAAGCTCCAGACAAATAACTACTCTACTCTAAAGTACTCAGAACACAGTTTCACAATATTTAACAATGAGTAGAAGACTGTTTTCAAGGGATAAGATTTCTAAAATGTTCCATGCAATTTAAAATGCTTTAATTTCTTCTCTTAACGGTTTATCTAGTTAATGTTTTAGACATTACCTTAAGAGAGAAACAAAAAATCCTTACTCTCACCCACTTCACTGATATTTCCAGGTGATAAACCTGACAAAGAATATATTAGTGGCCATCAATTCCCACTTGCCTTACACTGGCAGAACATCCTTTTTAATTCACGGCATGGCAGTTAAGTTCTGATCAGTGTTTTGGATAGTAGATAACAGAGACTGTGCTGATAAGAGAATAAAGAGATAAAACAGTGTGATTTTAAGAGTGAAGAGGTTGGCAATGCCTCTCTAACAGCCTTCCTTGTATCCAGGTAGTTATAAATAGGGCCTGGAAGGAATGTGTTGCACAATTACAAATTAACTATGAGGGAATAGGAGCCTATAAAAAGAAATGCTACAGACATGAATTTACATCAAGCATCTTCTGGATCCTGGCTCTTTGATTTACACCAGCTCATCCACAGAAAGAAGTTATTTTTGTTCATGATGAGTATAAAGAAGCCCCACATGGAGCCTTGCTTGGGCAGAATCCAGCACAGGCCTAAGGGGCTCTGGTCAGGGAATCAGGGCACCAGGGAGGGAGGGAGCCCTGGGCATGGATTCTTTACTGACTGCCTTTAGTCTTTGAGATGTCTAATAATGGCCAGGAATAATGTCCACTCTCCCACTTGAAGGTGCTCTTCAGGCAGACAAAATCTTGTTTAGATGTGGATCAGGTACCAACACTGAGTCTTCTGGACAAGTTAAATTTATCTTGTTCCTTCCCTTCACTTCCCCCAGAGAACCTTTACCTGAAAAGTCTCCTCAGTAAATGAAATACCCAGGGAACCAGAAACAGACATTTAAAGGAAAACAGTTCCTACTGATGCTAAGAGGAAGAAGGCAAAAATCTTCCTTCTGATAAAGCATTGCTCAGTTGGAATTCTCCTATTTAAAATTTATTTTCATATTCACAAAAATGTGATTAGTTTAAATTAAATTTCATGGGAAATTCATGAAAATTCACTTAAATGCTGTATGTTTACAGCATATAGAAGCCCCAAAATTTTTCTAATGCTAACAATCACTCAGATCCTAACAGCTGAGAAGAAAAGGCTTTGGCCTTCCCTCCATACTCTTCCTACTTCCTTCCTCTTTATGCTCAGCAAGGTGAAGACAAAGCCCGTTTGAGAGATTGGGTGAGACTGTTGATATATGTATCTTATGGCTACAGAGGTCTCTCAGGAGTGAGATACTTCTCTCCCAGCCTCCCAAAGAAGCCAGGCACACAGCTGTCATCACTATAAACTGAGCTGGACATTTATTTTTTCCTCCCTTAGCCATCTGCAGTCAGTAAATGAACTGATGCTCCACCTGCTGGAAAGAACTACAAGAGTTCCAGAATTCAGAGTTTTCTTCCTATGGGGAAGATGCAATCCTTTAAGACTCAAAAAAACCACCTCTTCAGTCAGCAGACAAAAAATTAGCCAAGGATTTAGCTTGTCTAAGATTCTAGTCCCTGCACTAAGAACTTTGTGCAGATCTTCTGATGCCTCTGAAAGCTTTTGCCTTTACAGAATAAACAACCACCAGAACACTGTGACTCTGTGCACAAATTGCTTTAGATTAAAACTGCAGGTTTAGATTAGATGTCAGAAAGAAATTCTTCCCTGTGGGGGATAAAGCACTGGCACACGTTTCCCAGAGGAGCTGTGGCTGCCCCATCCCTGGAAGTGTTCAAGGCCAGGCTATCCAGGGCTTGGAGCAACCTGGGATAGAGGAAAGTATCCCTGCCCACAGCAGGGAGTGGAACAAGATGAGCTTTAAGATCCCTTCCAACCCAAACCATTCTGTGATTCTGTGATTATAAGTAACACTTTTGCTAAGAGTTTGATCTTGGTTAGTTTGTTTGGTGCAATATGGAATATAATATGAAGCTGAAAAGGTGCTGCACTCCTCTTCCTCTCATTTGTATTAGCTTTTACTGTACTCTCAATTTTTCCAATGGTAACAGAAAAGTAGCAAAACAATAATAAAAAAACCCAACTAATTCAACAGTGCAAAACATCTGCTGAAGGTTGCCAGGCTGACCAACTACACCTACAGCAGGTTAAAATAGGAATCAGGAAAAGAAGTCTAAAGCCTCAAGGTAGAAATGCATCTGGCAAGATCAAAGTCAGACAGCTCGTACCACACTCTTACAAGTGAAGTTCCTTTATGAATTATGTTATGATTTACAGTGGACTTTGTTTCATGATTTACAGTGTGTTTCTTTAAACTCAAACACAGATGCTTCAGATACATTTATAATGATGCTTGGAAGAAATCTCACCCTGACCCTCAGGCAGCCTGAGCCACTTGAGTTGGTCAGTCTGTCTCTGCCACATAAATAATGACCAGAGGGACAGCTCTGATCTCTGCTCTCTGTCACCAGGGACAGGACCCAAGGGAATGGCTGGAGCTGTGTGAGGGCAGGCTCAGGTTGGATCTCAGGCAAAGGTTCTTCCCCCAGAGGCTGGTTGGGCACTGAACAGGCTCCCCAGGGCAGTGGGCACAGCCCCAAGGCTGCCAGAGCTCCAGGAGGGTTTGGACAATGCTCTCAGGGACATGGGGTGTCCCATGCAGGGCCAAGAGTTGGACTCAATAATCCCTGTGGGTCTGTTCCAACTCAGGATATGCTATGATTCTAAAGTTCTGAAAATAAAATAATAAACATATACAACACAGAACACTAATCTGACAGTTAACAAACATCTCCAAATGCAAAAGAAGCCAAAAATGTCAGAACCATCCCTGCTGAACTGGGATTTGCAAGGAAGATGAGGATGCTGCTCTAACTGGTGGGAACTGATTGCTTTCCATTCCACTAAAGTCAAATACTTGAGAATGCAGAAGTAGAACGTCCTCCCTCCCTAAAACAGGACCATTTTGAGTAAATAAACAATTGTTTTATTTTGTCTATTCAGTTTTGTGTTCCTGGGGAGAAGCTGAATAATATTTTCAAATCCATCTTGATAACCACAGAAGCTGTAATTTCTGAGAGATTATTTTCTTATCTAACTAAAACTTCTAAGGACACCACCAAAGAATTTGCTCTGTTGGAGTTCAGCTCAGCAGCAAAAACAGTGAAAGATTCAGTAATGCCCAAAGGGAAAAACTGCAGACAGTTCAGGTCTGAAGTATGTGATGTTTGACAGCATTTAATGAGTGATAATGAGCAACACTTCAGATCATACAGAAATCACTAATATTCAAGATATCAAAAAAACTCCTTATGACTTAGTCCAGATAACTTTTTTAAGCCCAAATAACTATATCAGAACACTCCCTGCCTTCCCTAACACCACACACACACAGCAGTGATGGAAAAGGGGATGTGCACCATTTACTGACTGAGTTCATCTCCACTGGAAAACTTATGTGATCTCTAGCATGTAAGAAGGGCAAGTAAGAAGAGAGCTCCTTATTTCCTCATTCATTAGCAGCTTCAGGAAAATAAAGGCAGCTAAGAGACTTACTCCTCCATATCCTGTTTCCAACAGCCAAAGGAAGGCCGGTGTGTCTGATACTCCAGCTGCAAAGCTGCCTCCAGCTCTCAAACTCCAAATTAACAAGGATGTGGAGCTGCTGGAGCAGATCCAGAGGAGGCCACAGAGATGCTACAAGGGCTGGAGCCCCTCTGCTCTGGAGCCAGGCTGGGAGAGCTGGGGATGTTCAGTTCGGAGAAGAGAAGGCTCCAAGGAGACCTCAGAGCCCCTTCTGGTGCCTAAAGGGGCTCCAAGAGAGCTGGAGAGGGACTGTGGACAAGGGTCTGGAGTGACAGGACAGGGGAGAATGGCTTTAAGCTGAAGGAGGGTAGGTTTATATGAGATATAAGGAAGAAATTTTCCACTGTGAGGGTGGTGAGGCCCTGGCACAGGTTCCCAGAGAAGCTGTGGCTGCCCCATCCCTGGAAGTGTCCAAGGCCAGGTTGGACGGGGCTTGGAGCAACCTGGGCTAGTGGAAGGTGTCCCTGCCCATGGCAGGAGGTTGGAATTGGATGGTCCCAAAGGTCCCTCCCAACCTAAACCATTCTGTGACTCTCTGATCTGCAAAGGACAAAATGAAGTGGTAGAAAGGCCAAAGACACTCAACTGCTTTTCCCAAAGTATTATTTTCCTAATGTGAAAATAACAATTGAGAGCATAAGTAAGTCAATAAAGGCATAAAAGCAACATAACAGGACATAAGCAAAGTTCCTATTCCTTATTTACAAATATGCAAAACGCTCTTCAAAGAGCATTAAAACCGTCGAAATTACAGATGAAAACTTGGAAACACCTGAATTAACAACGCTTCTGTAAGAATGACCACTAAATAAATATTTAGATTCATGTCAGAGAAAGACCCCACAGCTCTGAGCACCTGAATAAGCAAGAAAACCTTTTAGACGCGGATGCTGGAAATGACGGACCCCGTAAGAAGACGAGCAGCAGCACACGCTTTGCTTCAAAACCTGCGGTTTCAAGACGACCCTTAACATTCTTTATGTTTTTTACGCCGCCTGTGCCAGCAGCCAGAGGACACGAGCTGGGTTTGGGGCCTTACCTGGTTGGGTCTTACTGGGATGATGCTGTCCACCCGCTCCCTGCTGCGGAGGAGGACTGGCCCCCGCTGGCGCGGCGCCTGGCGCGGGGCTGGTGCCGCTCAGAGTCCCGGTGGGCAGTGGCTGCCCCCGCTTTAGGAGCTGCTTCTGTTCTTGCTGGCGGAAGCGTGGAGGCACCTCTCGAGGCAGGTATCGGGACGCAGCCGGCTGCTGCCCATTCGCAGACGCGCGCTTGCCATTGCTGCTGTTGGTAATAGTGCTGGTGGAAGTACTGGTACCGGTACCGGCAGGTTGGGGCTGGCTTAAACTGGTCTTAATAGGTTCTGGCACTGCATTTTTAAAAAAAAATAAAAAAATAAAAATTAATTGTTTTAGTTTCGGAGAGGTTGGGGCTTCTGGGTTGTTAAACTGTAAATGAGCAAATGCATAACATTTCTTAGTCCTGCAGTTGGCGAAACGTGTTTCCTGCTTAAGCAAAACGTGGCCCAGGACAGTATTTGAACCTTTTATTCCTTACTGCAGCACATCCTCCCTCCTGTTTTAAACCACACAGAGGACAAGAGAGAGCTGTGACAATTCAGCATTGAACAGGAGGGTCAGTTAAGCTGCACCCACCTAAAGCCCCCGCTGCCTTTTCAGTTCAGCAGTTTTGCAGGTTTGGATGCGAGCTTGCCAATATTAACATCAAACCCCATGGCCTACAGCCACGAAAACAAACATTTTCAGGTTTCTAATGAGTTCCCCAAAACAAGTTAAAATACCTGATACACCAGCTTATTCAACACTCACACAAACTTTAATTTTCTTGTGGTCTTTATACAAACCTTCACATCAAGCACTTCAGGACACCCCAGGTGTACATCTGATATGCCCCACACTGACCCTGCCTGCAATAAACCAGCCAGGCCACCCTGGAAAACTGCTCAACTTCCACAGCAGCAGCAGTGAGCAGGCACCAGGGGAATGCTGAGGGTGGTCAAAGCAAGCAGGGACTTGGCCAAGCAAAAATATGCCAAGTTTGACAGAACCATCAACATTCTGCTTCTCCAAACTGTTTATTTTGGAAGCCTAAACAACTTCACCTATGCTTATGTCTGCGACAAAAAAGGAACCCTGAATATAAAAAAAAAATTAAAGCACCAGTAATACCTGAAGAGCAGAGAATAAACCTTCATTGCCTTTTCAAAACATATCACCAGCTTTGGAAACAGTTTATCCGTACTCTGGCAATTAAAAAAGGAGTTTAAAAGTGTCATGGAATGCAGAATAATTATTTTCAAATATCAAATTTGCATATTCAACATGTATGTGAAAACTGTTCTGTTTCCACAATATAAATAAATCTGTTGTCCACATGACAGAAAATATGACTTAATTTTAATGGTTGCTTTTAAACTCCTCCTTCTATTGCTATTACAGAAATGGAAGCATTTACCTACTAAAGCCATCATTATCACAAAGATGCAAACATTTAGAAACACAGAGACCTGAAATACTCAGTGGTTCTGCAAAGGATGAAACTGCAACTCCTTTACCACAAGGTTCATCAAGAGCATTCCAGATGCAGCTGATGGACCAAAAATAATGCACCATTCCAGCAAGGAAGGTTCTCCAAGTCGGCTGACAGACCAGGCACACAAACCCTTGTGCCAACAGATGAGAAGGAATGCCAGGGAAGAGGAGGGAAAGGACAAGAGAATGGAAACCACTAACTGGCACGATGCCAGCGGAGTCGGGATTTGTCTGGCCCTGAGATTTCATAAGGAATAACAATTAATTGGAAACATATTTCAGAGAGCAAGGCAGGCTGCTTTTTAAAAAGCATTATACTCTCTGTACTGTGTATATATAAATCACATCTGATACTTCCAAATAGGTGTGCATATAGAGATATATATATAAAACCCATCACTAATGCAAGTCATAGAATACACATTTTCCACTTTAATGTAAATTCACAAAGCTGTTTGATCAAAAAGGTGTGGCCAGAGAAACCCAATTTCAGTGTTAGAGACAATGTTTCCCTCTATATATCTGAATCCCATATGAGAGAAAAGAACAAAGAAAATCAAAATATCACTGTATCTTAGAGTAAAAATGTTTCTGCGTATATGTTAGTTTTTCTCTCATCAACAGAGAAAAGCATATTTTATTTTGTACATCAAAAATCTTTTTAAAAGAGTAGTTAAATGAAAGCTCTTGCAAGAATAGTGTGTCTACAAATCATGGCAGCTGGCAAATAACCATTTAATTACACCACTGACAGGGAATAAAGCAAAAAGAGTGAACAACATCACAGTAATGGGCTTGAGCTCCAAATTCCACCTTCGTACCGGGCTAGAATTTAGACTTCAAATACAGCAATAACATTTGGGGAATATATGTTACAAAGACAACATGACTGTATTCTATAGTCATCCTCAGCAATGTTTAAACAGTAATTTTCAGTTGATATGCACTGTGAGAAATACCAACTGTTCGAAGTGTCTGCCCTGCATGTCTCATGTGCTATTTGCTCCAACAACACCTTTTTAAACCCTTTGGCCACTCTCCTTCCCAAAAGGCTACACTCCAAGATGAGCTATCCCTTGCAGAACACACAGTGCACAAAGACACATTTCAGCTCGCTGCAGGGTACAAAAGCAGAGCAGAGGGAGCCCCTCCCAGGCAGTGCCTCAGTCAGCGGAGCTGCCCCAGCACTGATGCTCCGTGAGCTCTGAGTTTAATCAGCCCCAAGGGCCGACCTGCCAATCCATGGAGAACCCCTTCCAGCCCCGGAGGAGCAGCCTGTCCACCCTTTCACCTGAAAGTAATCCACTGTCACAGCTAATGGCATGTGGGCAGCTGTTGGGAATCCAGGAATTAACACGGAGCTTTTACAGCTAAATCTGCCTGAATGCTAAAACTGTTGTTTAAAATGTATGGGGGAATGGATTTGATACTGAGCGATTTAAGAGCCGAAGCAAAAACATTTAAGCAGAAAGCCTCTTGCAAAAATACAATTAAAGGCATAAAATAAAAGCCTTGAGATTGCTCACTCTTAAGATGTTTGTGATGGGTATCTGCTTACTCTCCATTCCGAGCTGTACATACACTAAACAATGAGCTTGCCTGTAATAATTATCAGTACTTAATGGTATCTAAACTTCTTAATCCAATTTCACCCAAACAAATCCAATAATTACTCCATATGCTTTTTGATGATTACAATCTCGGGAATCCCAACTGCATAAAAAAGTGTTACGAGCAATTGTAGGTGGATTTTATTAATATAATGAATAGGATCAGTCTAACAGATTTCAATTACAACAATAGCTTTTAAGTACATTTCTATGACATAAGGAAAGAACATGCATAAATGAAAGAAACTGGTTAAGCCACATAATACTGATTTATGGCAGCTTTTTCCTTTCATTCACCTCATTAACATTTCTCTATATTTCAGAATCCCCCACTCCAGCCCTATAAAACTTGCATTTCCAAAGCCTTCGAGTACCAGACATTCCAGAAGAGAAACAGTTAAACCCAGAAATGCATTCTTGGCTGCTACTGTGACAGGATTTATTTACAGCTTCTATTAAACACAGCAGCTCCATTACAAAGTGCTGGATGTGAGGAGAATTTTTGATTATACAATGCCAATGCCTCACTGCGTTAAACATATCATGCCAGTGTATTATTTTTTTTTTTCCTTCAGCAATTCGTTCAGGTCATTGTTTGATGGGTTTATGAATTCATTACAGGAAACAGATGGATCCCATAATTCAGAGCTATTCTCCCAGCCAATCATATGGGCAGTTTTTTTCCTCATCTTGCTCCCCCCTCCAAATCAACCTTAATGAAGCCACTTCCTCCATGGCCAATTCCCTGCACATACACACTGCAGAGACAACGGCTGCTGCTTGAAGCACCCTCCAAACACTAAAGGCTTTCAAAATAAAGCTGAACAGGAGCACACTCACACAGACACCCCCTCTGAGGTCACACCGAGCGCCAGGAACTTACCCAAGTCGGGCGAAGGCAGCCACGAAATACAGGATTATAGTGGCCAAAAATAGGCATCCTCATTAGCAAGAAATCCGTTTTTATTTGCTGACAAAAGTCTCTTTCGGAAAAAAAATTGTTGCCCCCCCCCCTCCAACCTACTTTCAAAGGCTGAATTTTCATTTAACAAATTACCTCCTTTGTCTCCTAAGCGCTGGGATTTGTTATCCACAGTGACATCTACTGGTAACAGCAAAGGTGCTCAGAAACTATTGCATAAAAGCTGACTTTAATGGTTTTTACACCAAAAACTGGTAATTTTCTGTCTGGATCATCCCTTCCCCCAAGCTCACAAACTTCTCCTGAAAAACACCTGCAGAAAATTTACAGTGTAAAGCCAAGAGAAACCCAAAAACTCGTTTTCCACAGTACTCAGAATGGCTTTTATAATGTAACCAGAAGCTGCTGTTCGACATCAAAGCCCATTTTCAGGGATAAAAGTAAAAATACATTTGTTACTGTGGCTTTAGAACTTTATCACCTTTCATTTAAAGAAATTACTCAGTTTTATTGGATAAGTGATATTGTCAGGAATTGGTATGCTCAGAACAAATGAAGTCTTTTCCTGGTTTACCTTCATTTCCCCCTTACTTTGACCTCCCAAATGACCACAGTGCATCTTCTCCTGCTTCCTCTTCCACAGGTTTCCTCTCCACTTCCTTCTCTTGACTTTTGCAACGTTTCCTTCCTCCTTCCTTAGCCTTTCATCATCACAGTTCTAAAACCTCTTCTATAACCCACCTCTCCTGATAGCCTTCTCACTTCTACCAAGTTGGACCTTCTACACAGAACTTGAATTTTATTTTGCCAGGAAATTTGAAGTCAGACTAGGAATTAACAGGAAGCTGTGAAGTTCACAGAAAACCTCTAAATGACTTATTAGGATTTCTCAACTACCTTCAACAAGAGGTTTCACCTTCTTAAGTGTTGGCTTTATGCAAAGGTCTGAAATAGAGAAACACTGAGGACTTCATCCACCACCCACCTCTGTTTTCACTCCAGAGCCCTATATCCACAAATCCAGCTGACCCTGACTCCTACCCTGACACTCATTTGTTCCTCCCTCCCCCGTCATCTGCTTCAGTTCAAACAAGTTCTGCCTCTTTTCTCACATTTCCCACCCGTGTCCCACCACTGAAAGCTCTCTCTATATAACTTAACTATGTCATGGTTTCTGAAATGACGTTTGTACTTGATATTGTCATAAGCAAATTGGGGAAATGTGAGCAAAATGTAAAATTGGTTGAAATGTTCCCTGGGAGAATCAATGGTTTGCTGTCAAAAC